GAGGGTTGCGATCCCGTTGCCGGTCCCGGTCCGGTACGGGCGCGACACTGGGGGTTGGGATCTGTTGCCAGACACGAAAAAAGACAAAAAAAAAAAAAAAGAATAGCAGAGCTAAAAAAGAGCTGATAATTGTACTGGTAAGAATGTAAGGAAATTCAGACATGATGGGGGTGGGGCATTAATTAATCAAAACTCTATGGAGGATAATATGGCAATATCTCTATTTAAATTGTTAATATCCTTTGACTTAGCTGTTCCATTTGTATTAATTTCTCAAGTAAATCAAGGATATACCTTGTTGCATTGTTTGTAATGGTAAAAGACTAGCAACAACTTAAATGTCCATCCACAGGAAATTCATGAAATAAAAATGGTGCACATAGCCAGTGAAATACCACGTAGCTGTTAAGCATAATGGGGACACTTTCCTTGCTTGCTGTGATGAAATGATCTACCCCCTCATTATTAAGTAAAAAAAGCGAGATGCCTTTGGGAAGTGGAAGTGAGGACTGTTGGCTGCATTCAGAGAAGTGAGGGAGACTCACTTTTCAGATGATCTCTGCTGCTGATCTCCAAACCTATTTCCCCTTCTTCTTGGGCACTCATTTCCCAGACGCCTTTGCATGGAGGAGGGGTCATGTGACTGACATCTAGCCAGTGAAAAGCGGCTCAGCCCATAGAAACCTCCCATGTACCATCCTTACTGCGTTTTTCTCCTCTGGTTGGTGAAAAATGGTGCCGAGACCCGGGGTGACTTTGCAATCTGGTGTTGAAATTAGAGTCACACAAAGAAAGGAACCTGGGTCCCTGAGTTCATGCCTGGAGGAGAACTCCAGTAGTTCCAGCCTGTGAGGAGCAACGTGAGCAGGGACTTTATTAGTCCCTGGAATTTGGGGGCATACCTCATACAGAGGCTCTATTACAATATCCTTTTGATATATTAGCCCTTCAAAGCAAAGCAAAACAAAACTCATAAAACACACACCTGGTCTCCTTCAGCCCTTGGATCACCATGCTTGCCTGGTGCTTCATAAGTGGGCCTTGGCCAAGTTCTCTGGCTTCAGCTCCTGGAGCTCCGGCCACAATCAGCTCCCCGGACACTTGTTACCAAGATGTGTCCCTTTCCTGTGCTTCTCTGTGTCAAAACATACTTTTTGCACCGCTCAGCTCCTCCCGCCGGGCTCTTCTCCTCTCTGGGCTTCCACTGACATTATCGTTGAAATGCTCACATTAGGTGATATCCGTCCCCTTCCTAGCCAATGTCCTCTCACTTCTTCCTGCATCCCCGTGCCCAGCTCCCGGATGTCTCTGGAATAAAAGTATTTGTGAAACCTTTCCTTCTAACCCCGCTCTCTCGTCGTCCATCCTCCACAGTCAGAAACCATCAGCGGTAGAAGCTTATCAAGCAGATCATCCTGCTTTAAACTCCACTGCCTGGAAGACCCTCCCTGCCATGGCCCTGCCCTCCGCTGTCCCCTCCCCTGCCATCGCTCTCCCCCTTGTTCACGGGGCTCCCTTCTTTCCATTTTCCTGACACGTGCGGGGGGGGGGTGTCCCCACCTCGAGGCCTCTGCACTTGTTGTCCACAACCCCCATCCCCCCAATGCTCTTCCTTAGACCTGTACAAGACCAGCTCTTTCCATCATTCAGGTCTCACTTGTCACTTCCTGACCACGGTATTTAAAAGCAGTCCCTGCCCCGAACATCTCTTCACCTTATTCATCTCCTTCATGGCGCTCATCATCGTCTGAAATGACCTCGTGTTTGGGTTTAAGGCGGGTCTCTCCCTCTACAGTGTCAGCGCGGGAAGTCAGGGTCGCTCTGCTTCGGGCCTGTACAGAGTAAGGGTTCAACCAAAGCGCGGTGCACAGGCGAGCTGGGGCCCTTCCGCACATGCGGCGCGCCACGCGGGGTCAGGGACAGGGGGTGGGGGACATCGGCCGAGAACAGCGGGTGGCCGCTGNCTTCTAACCCCGCTCTCTCGTCGTCCATCCTCCACAGTCAGAAACCATCAGCGGTAGAAGCTTATCAAGCAGATCATCCTGCTTTAAACTCCACTGCCTGGAAGACCCTCCCTGCCATGGCCCTGCCCTCCGCTGTCCCCTCCCCTGCCATCGCTCTCCCCCTTGTTCACGGGGCTCCCTTCTTTCCATTTTCCTGACACGTGCGGGGGGGGGTGTCCCCACCTCGAGGCCTCTGCACTTGTTGTCCACAACCCCCATCCCCCCAATGCTCTTCCTTAGACCTGTACAAGACCAGCTCTTTCCATCATTCAGGTCTCACTTGTCACTTCCTGACCACGGTATTTAAAAGCAGTCCCTGCCCCGAACATCTCTTCACCTTATTCATCTCCTTCATGGCGCTCATCATCGTCTGAAATGACCTCGTGTTTGAGTTTAAGGCGGGTCTCTCCCTCTACAGTGTCAGCGCGGGAAGTCAGGGTCGCTCTGCTTCGGGCCTGTACACAGTAGGGGTTCAACCAAAGCGCGGTGCACAGGCGAGCTGGGGCCCTTCCGCACACGCGGCGCGCCACGCGGGGGGCAGGGACAGGGGGTGGGGGGCATCGGCCGAGAACAGCGGGTGGCCGCTGCACTGGCCCGAGGCTGAGGAGGTGGCGGGCCCGCCCCTGCCCCGCGCCCCACCCCG